TGAAGTCCATGAAGGAGTGGTTGTCTGGGCCAAATGTCCAGGCTATGGGATGCCTCAGGTGTAGGGCTCGGTGGCTCCAGGTGTGGTTTGCTGGTGAGTCTGTCCTTCTTCTGGCTGGCTTTTGTCTCAGGCTCGTTGCTTCACAGCTGCAGAATGGCAGCTGCTGCTCCTGCCATCACATCCTCTCACGGCTGCGTCCAAAGCAGACTGGAAGTGGGGTGGGCAGGCAGAAGGCCCTTCTCTTCCTGTGCCTATGCCTCTCTTTTCTCTGGGGGAAGAATTGCTCCCAGCATCCACCAGCAGACGTGCTTCATCGTGTCCATTGGCCAGAAGTGGCCCAGACTACCCATGTCCCTGAAAGAGAGGAACCAGGTTGGCCTGGACTGACCTTCATCTCTCGGCGCTGCTCTGTTCCTTTCTGGGTAGGGCCGGGTTTCAAGGGCAAGGAGGGGAGCAGTGCTCCAGGTAGGTTGTACAAGTCTCAATTTACTGATGGGGAAACTGAAAATCACAGAAGAATTGGGCCTTGCCCCACGGTTTCCCAGGAGTAAAGGGCAAAATCAGGATTTGAATTCAGGCCTGTGGAAGGCAGCGCAGCCTGCTGGTTAAATGCCTGGGTGGGCCAGCTGCCGACCGTGTGGCCTTGGCCACATCATTTTACCTCTCCAGCCTCAGTTTCCTCATCAGGAAAATGGGGGAAACCACAGAGGAAGAGAGAGGATTAAATGGGATAATGCATCCAGTGCCTGGATTTAGGAAATACACCATACACTAAGTGACCAATTAACTTCATGAGTTATTATTCATCTCGTCAGTGGGAATGAATGCACGCTTTTCACTGTGCTGGGCTGCTTCTCACAGCTCAGTGTCCTTTCCCATAAGTGATTTTTTTTCCCCCTCTCAAATGCTGGTTGAATTCTAGCAAGTGATTGAGGCAGATTACCCTGTGGTTGATAGGACTGTTACTACAGTTCTGTGATAAAGACTCCGTTTCATTCCCACGTGAAGAAGGATTTATGGGGAGGTGGCAGAAAGGCAAGGAGGTTTGTTTTCATCCTCAGCGTGCAGAGGGGGCAGCCACAGACAACCGTTGCTGTCTGGGTGTCACGGGGCTCCTCTTGACTCTCTCCTCCCAGAATCTTCAGGTCTCGGAGCTGGAGAGCCCGGGTGGGGGTGGGGAGCGACGGATTGCAGGCCACCGCATGAGCTGGGCTGGAGCCTTGGTGTGGAGACCCCAGGCCCTGCAGTCAGAGCACAGAGGAAGGGGTCCACTCTGCGGGCAGGGTAGGGGGTCCGGATGAGAGCTGCCCACTCTGTGCCCAGCCTGTCTCACTGGCCTCCCCCAGGTCTGAGCCCCCTGCCTCTCCCACTCCACCGCTGTCTCAAGGTGCACACCCTCTCCTGAAGGATCTCCAGGAAGTGGCCCCCTCTGCGGGCCAGTAGTCTTCCTAAAACCGGAATGAGTCTGAGCCCATCTCTCTCCTGGTCTAAAGGCCAGGCTTCTCGGCCTGGATCATGGTCCCCCACTGGCTACTGCTGTCCCTTTCCTTCCTTCCCTGCAATGCTTCAGCCAAGCAACCCTGCGGGACTCCTGGGGGGCCCGGCTCTGTCCAGATTCTGAGCTTTTGACACATTCCTGCCTCCTGCCCCCAGAATACATCCCCTTTCCCACAATGACCCTCTAAGGCCTTCGGGGCTCAGGGGTCATATTTCTGAGACCCTCTGCCTGAGGTCAGGCTTCCCAGAATGGACTCTGAGACCGAGATATCCCTGATGAGGTTTCTAGATGTGTGCCTGTGGTACACAGAATGATGACCCAAGACACCCACTGCCTCTTCCCTGGAGCCTAGGAAGACGTCACCTTTCATGTCCATCACATGCAGATGTGATGAAGTTAAGGCTCTCGTGACAGGGTAGACTCTCCTGTGTTCCCTGGGTGGGCACAGTGCAGTCACGAGGACCCTCAGAACAAGGAGGCAGGAGAGTCAGAGACAGAGAAAAGGTGGCGTCCCGCCGGGAGCAGAGAGAGGTGGGAAGGTTCTACCCTGCTGGCTTTGAAGATGGAGGAAGGGGCCATGAACCCAAGAAGGCAGGTGGTCTCTGGAGGCTGGAGAAGGCAAGGAAATGGGTTCTCCCTAAGAACCTCTAGAAGGAATGCAGTCCTGTCGACTCACTTTAGACTACTGACCTCCAGAGCTTCTAGGATAATGAATCTGTGCTGTTCCAGGCCACTAAGTGTGTGGTCGTTTATCACAGCAGCAGTCCCCTGCCCTGGGCTCGACTGATGCTGGCGACGGTGCTGGGCTGACGCCTCGGCCGGTCCCGCGGGAGCACTGGGGCTGCGCCGGCTTTGTCGCGAAGGGAGGCTGGGCTCTGACTCTTTCGCCTGCCCCCTTCTCCCGGTCCCCGCACGGAAGCTGCTCCAGGGGGAGGCCGTTCCTGGCAGGGGCTCAGCTGTGAGCCACCAGCAGCCAGCACTCCCGGCACCTGCGGACGGGGACCCAGTGAGCTCGTCCTGTGGTCCCGCGCCCATGGCGAGGCCTGGCTCAGACTTGGGGCTGGGTGAGCGAGTGCACACCGGGGAGCCCGTCCCAGCCTCGGCTGCAGCCCACCCGTCACCTCTGGGAGGGCGCCTCTGCGTTCCTCCCGGGGCACGGCTGTGCCAGCTAGCCCCACGGCTTGCCGGACGGAGCGGGCCACTCTGGAGGTAAGAACAACAGCCAGGGTTGCCTGACTGCCTCCGCGGTGCCAGGCACGAGTCTGAACGCTCCAGGTTTGCGGACCCACGCGTCCCCGGCAAGAATCCAAGTGATGCGGGTGCGGCTGCTGGAGGCAGTTTTGTAGATGAGAGAGCTGAGGCTCAGAGAGGTGAAGTCACTTGTGTGGAGTGACAAACACCTAGCAAGCGTCACTGCCGGGATTAGGCTTGAGCGGTCCGGAGCCTGCCCCCGTACCCAGCACACCGTCACCTCCCAGACGCACAGTCCTGCATGTGAGAGCAGACGGAGCGGGCCGTGAACCCACGTCACCTGAGAGCTCTCCCAGCCGTGGAGTGGTACTGGGGCAGGAGGGGGCAGATCACAAGGGCTGGGTTGTTATTCCCAAGCCCGTCCTCAGAACCTGCTGTTTCTGGAACATCCATCTCTCTGACGTTTCTGGGTGACTGTTCCCAGGTGCCCCCTGAGAGCTCCGAGGGCCTCACAGACGCTGTCCTTTCTAATGGGGTCTTCCTGCCTGAGGAGGAAACCGGGAGCCACTGTGGCCCGAGGGGGGCCGGGGCCACCCCCCAGAGTGTGCAGTCCTAGAGCCAAACTCCGTAGAAGCATTCCGTCTGGGGGGCTGTCTCCTGACAACTGTCTGCCAGCCTGTAGGAGTCCACTGTGGCTGTGTGCCCCTGTCGTGTGCAAAATGGAGCCAACAGCGGCTGCCGCTTACCAAGCATTCACTCCGGGCCAGAAACTAGCTTACATTTGTCTCTTAATTTGATCCTTTCCATAGTAACTTTATAAGGCTATTTTCACCCTCCTTTGATGGGTGAGGAGGCTGAGGACACACAGAGAGATTAAGTAACTTGCCCAGGGTCACACAGCAGCTCCAGCCTCATCAGGCAGTTTGGACTTGAGTCTGTCCTCTTTGCCACCTCCACCCAGGGTGGTTGAAGAATTAAGTGAGATAATATACGTGAAAGGCTTCAGATGACTGGCACAAAGCCCTTGGTAATTCTTAGGTGAATAACTTTTCAGAAATTGAAAGCTGGTTGGATGGCTTCCCTAACTCCATGACATTTGCCCTCTCCTGATGCCAACAGGTGCCCACGCTGTTCTGTGGGCAGTCACACTGTGTTCTTTTTGGGTCCCTTAGTGTCCCTGGGTCTTAACTCGTTGAGGGGTATTTTCTGTTCTTTTGGGGTAGTTCCAGCTATTCTGATGCCTCTTCCCTTTTCTATAAATTCCTCTCTCATGCTCAAGGCACATTTAACCTGAATCGGCCCCCAGCCTCCCTTGCCTGACCTCCTAGCCCCCTAGCTATCCCCCTGCACGCCCTGCCTTGGCCACAGTGACTCACTTCCACCCTCCTATCCTAAGCAAAGCGTGCTCCCCTGCTTCTCACCTGTAACCCTGGAAAGCCCCTCTCACCCCTGCCCTGCCCCTGCTTGGTTGACTCCTGCTCACCCTCCAGTCTCATCAAGAAGATGTCACCTCCAGGAAGCCCCCTGACCACCACCCTCGCCCCCAGTCAGGACCTTGCACCTTCTCTGCATACTCATGGCCCCATAAGCCGCCCCATCACGCTCTGCTCACGCTGTTCTGTGAAGGTCTGTTTACTGGTCTGTGTGCCCCTCTGGTGAGACCTTCGGGAGCAGGACTATGTCTGGGTTGTCCCTTGGTCCCCTGGCCCACCATGGGCTATGCCTGCCCTCAGCCGGTGCTCCCTGTGTTTTTAGAAGGAAGGGCAGCTGAGGTGATAATGTTGTGACCTGCTGGTGTGGGTGGCAGTGCAGGAGACCCTTGAGGAGGCAGGAGACCCCTGGGAGGGCAGGAGACCCGTGGTTGGTGGGAGACTTGGGTGGCAGAGTGGACTTAGCCTTGAACCTAAGGAAGATGGGAGGTAAGGGAGCCTGGGGCCAGAGCAGGCTCTCCCTGGCTGAAGGGGGTGCTGAGGGGCAGCCGGGGGCGTGCGTGGCCCCCACTGTGTGAAGCACACATGAAAACCTGAAATGTAGAGGTTCTCTAGGATGTTAGCATCAGGGGTAACCTCCTTCAATGCCTTCCTTTCACTGCACTTACAACGGTGACCCCGGGAGGGAGAGGGACTTCCCCAAGGTCACTCAGCAAGTTGGAGGCCGAACTGGGGCAGGGGATCTGGAATGTTCCTGGCCTGAATCGGTGTGCCCTTCAGGGTATGTCAGGGCCTCCGTAGCCTGCGATGCCCACCCCCCCATCCCCGGAAGTTCCTGTTACCTCCAGGCCCTCCAATGCTATCTTCTGTCCCTCCCACAGGTGAACCTGGTGCTGGGGGACGGCCGGTCCCTGGGCCTCACAATCCGAGGGGGAGCCGAGTACGGCCTGGGCATTTATGTCACCGGCGTGGACCCAGGCTCAGAAGCAGAAAGCAGCGGACTCAAGGTGAGCAGCCCGACTCCCAGAGGAGGGGGTGGGCACCAGGGCCACATTCGTGGGGTGAGGGCGAAGGAGCCACGTGTGGAGCTCCGTGCGGCTGATTTCGGTCAGACCTCCAGCGAGGCCGTGGGCACCCCACCTTGAGGACTGGTCCTGGCCAGGAGTCCCCCTGGCTGCATGCCTCCAGTTGGCAGCTCAGAGCAAAGCAACAGGGCCCACCCCCCAGCCTCCCGAGCTGGTTTCCTAGCTGTCCTCGGAGCAGTGCAGCCTCCCACGTGGTGGCAGGCAGCCGGCCAGCCGAGCTCTTCGTGGCTGCTGCTTTGCAAACACTGTCAATGGCTGCGGTGGCCCCGACTTCAGGTTCGTTCTGGAGCATTGACAGGGAAGAGAGGAGAAAGCGGGAGCTGGGTTAGGGTTGCACCGAGCAGCTCCCGGTTGGCGTTCCATCAGGGCAACCAGCAATCATTGAAATCATATCGTTCGTTCTCATTTTGAAGAACGCTAACTGTGTGCCCGGTGCTGCTCATTGGCTTCACACGCGTCTCATTGAACCCTCAGGTTGCCCCTTGGGGTAGGTGGCTCTTACCCACATTTTCCAGTCAGGGAGGTGGACATGGAGAGAAGGTGAAACAGACTTCCCAAGGTCACGCAGCTGACAGGTTGCAGAGCAGGACTGAGCCCAGGCTGTCTTTGTTCCACAGCCCGTGCTCCCAGCCATTGCACTATACCACCTTGCTGCCAGAACTTGCTCGGAGCACTGGGGGGCTGTGACACTGAGTGAGGCAGAGGCGAGGACCCTGGGCCCAGAAGACAGATGGCCTAATGAATGGGCTAAGTCCTGATGCCGGCCGGGGAAGCCAAGGCAGCAGCGACGGGAGCAGTAGCCGTGGGCATGGGTGGCATTTGAGCCAGCCTTGCAGAATGCGACAGGTTGGAGGTAGAGGGGCTGGGGAAGGAGGAGGCGTCACTGAGACCATGGGCAACTAGATGGCTGGGGAACGAAGCACAAGATGAGATGGTGTCTTTCTAGCAAAGGGCCTTGAATGCCCCACTAACTTGTGGGAACCCGATTCTCTATGCAGACGCGAAGAAAAGGTCAGGAAGGGTCATGGCAGATCAGAGTGGCGGTCAGCAGAGACACCCCCCCCAACCCCGCCCCGTGCCGTGTAGTGGTGGGAGGACTGGAGTGGGCGAGAGGAGGCATCTGTCAGCTTCTTTTAGGACATAGGATTTAATCGGAAGAGCTCTGGGCTTGGAGCCTGGAAGATTGGGTTCGAATCCCAACTTCGCTGTTTTTGCTCTAATAGCTGTGTGACCTTGGACAGTTCCTCCGTGTGTCTGTGCTTCCCTGCCTTTTCCCAGATAAGCATAATAGAGAACACCACTGTCTGAGGGTCGTTGAAAAGATGAGAAGAGAAAGCTGATAATAATGGTAATAATAACGTCAGTAAGTGTCTCTGTTATGGGCTGAATGCTTGTGTCCCCACATTCATATGTGAGTCCCTGACCCCCAACATGATGGGGTTAGGAGGTGGGGCCTTGGAGAGGTGACAAGGTCATGAATAGGAGCAGTATCCTTATAAAATGGACCCCACAAGTGAGGACACAAGAAGTGGGCTATCTGCAAGCCGGAAGAGGGTCCCCAGCAGAACCCGACCACGCTGGCACCTGACCCCAGACTTCGGGCTCCCAGAACTCTGAGAAATACATGTCCACCGTTTGTAAGTCACCCAGTCTAGGGCGCTTTGTTTTAGCAGCTGGGACAGCCTGACACAGCCTGCTGTTTCTCTGGCTCTTTATGCCGTGGATCCGTGTACCCACTGCACCCCTGTGGAAACGTGTTCCTCAGCTAGCCCATTTTACAGGCACAGCAGCTGAGACTCAGAGCGTCACACAGCCAGTGGGAGGCAAAGCTGGGACTCCCATGCGATAGTTGGGGTTCTGGTTCTGGAACCGTGCTCGTAACCAGGCCAGTCGGGTGGGTGATAGAGGCCCCACAAGCGCTGGCTGGGTCTCGTTGATTCTGCAAGACCCTGGGTCTGAGCCCGTGCTGTGTTCTCAGGGAAAAATGGCACCTTGATGGGATCTCCAAGAGGAAACAATCTCACAGTAGTCTGTGCGCACGTTTTGTTTAAGAAGTTTGTTATTTTGGAATAATTTTAGATTTACTGAGAAGTTATAAAGGGATTTCCCATCCTTCGTTCATCCAGCTTCCCCCAACGTCAGCGTCTCCTGTAACCACGGTACATTTGTCAAGGCTCAGAAGCTGACATGGGTACAGTACGTTTCCACAAACCACACACTTTATTTGGAGTCACCAGTTTTTCCACTAATGTGGTTCACTCGAGCGTTATGCATTGCATTTGGCTTGTATGCAGTTTTAATTCCATTTATTCCTCCCCCCCCAACCACCACCAAATTTCAAAAAAGATTAATGGCAGTTTCTAAGCATGGAATACAGTTTTTGTTTTTGTTTTTTTTAAATAAATGAGTGAGGAAATTGGGGAGAAGAAAAATGAGGGCTGAGAGAAAGGGATGAAGACAGAGCAAGGGTCTTTTCTAGAACACTTGCTAGAGGCAAGACGCAGATTTGGTTAGAGCTTCCTGGCAGCCAGTGCAAAGAGAGAAGCAGGTCAGTGACATCTGTGAGATGAAAACAGAGCAACTGTGCTTTAGAAGCCTGGCTGTTCCTCTTCCTGGGGCCTGAGCGCAGTTTCCCTCTGGTCTCTCTTGGAGAGAATGCTGTGTGATGATGTAAGCGGTGTCCTCAGTGACAGGAAATGTATGAGCAGATTCCACCCTTGGTGGCGGATGCATTCTGATGACATCCATGTTAAAAGAAAGCAGAGAGAGCGTGAAAGATGATGTGTTAGGGTCCAGCCTGAGAGCACTGAGCACATTTTCTCTCTCTGTCTCTGTGTCTCTGTCTCTGCATCTGTCTCTCTCATTACTGACAGATGGTCGCTTTTATTATCATGTCGTCTACTTACTGAGGAGTCACCGTGTCAGGAACTGTGCCAGATGCTTCACGGTGTTACTTGATTTTTATGACAATGTGTGAGGAGGGAATATTCTCATCCCTATTTTGCAGGTGGCAGATCCGGGAACAGTGTTAAGCAACGTGCCCAAGGCCACCCAGCTAAGAGGGGCTAGGTTTGCACCCCCAGCGGCACACGCTACTTTCTTAACCGCTACTCTCCACCGCCTCCTGGTGGTGATAGGTGTCATTGTCTCCAGCTTACAGCTGAAGAGGTGAAGGCTCATGGAGTTTAGGGTCCAATTCATTCTAATGTCAGAGCTGGGATTTGAACCCAGGCCTGACAGAGCCTTGTGCAGGGGGGGACAGGAGCCCTAGGACCTGCCGCTGACCAGCTGTGTGAGGGTAGGGGTGTCCTTCCGCTCTCTGGGCCTGTCTCCATGCTTGGACAGTGAGGAGTTGAATAGTCAGGCTAGATGATTTGGGAGGCTTTCTCCTAGATTCGCACCTTTTTTTTCCGGCCTGAGACTGCCCAGACACCAGGAACCACAACCACAGAGAGATGCCAAAACAGTTAGCCCACTGGCAGATCCCCCTTTTATGTGGAAGGAAGGGGAGAAGGAAGGCGGGGAGGGGACATTACATAGAGGTAGTGGCTGTCCATTCTGCTTCTCCTTCCCTTCCTTCCATTTAATCCGCAAATATCTACCGAGGACTCCTGTGTGCCAGACACTGGGCTCGCCCTGGGGCTTCTGAGCTGAGCAAGACAGAGTCTCTGACCTCCAGGAGCTTTCTTTCTAGTGGGAAGATGGGGCCAGGTGGGGAGGCAGAATTACCCAATTGTTTGTTTAATCAAACAATCAGGGTAAACAGCAAGATGGCAAAGCCCATGGAACCGTGTGGGTGTATGACAGGGGAGACCAGCTCTCATCTTGGATATCTGGGAGGGCTTCCTGGAGAAAGAAACATTTCTGTTGAAATTCAAAACAAGAGGAGAAAATCAGTGATGTGAAGGAGGAAATGAGTATTTCCGGCAGAAAGAACAGCAAATGCTGAGTCCCTGAAGTGGAATGAAGTGTTGCCTGATGCCAAGGAAGGCTGGTGTGGCTGAACGCAGAAAGCCAGGCGGAGGAGGAGGTGCCAGATGATGCTGACAGAGTGAACAGAGCCAGCTCACACAGGGTGTGTAATTCACCCAACACTGTGCAGCCATGAAAAGGTGATGCCCCAGATCTGCAGTTAGCAGTATGGAAGGATGTCCATAGGTCTGTTATTAAGTGGAGAACACAGGCTGCAAAGCCACTTATCTGACAGGAGCTCATGCAGCAGTAGATGCAGGTGGAAATATGCGCAGAGAAACAGCCACACGGACCTGTACCGAAACATCGGTGTGGTGATCCGAAAGTGGCGACATCACCGATGACTTTTGCCGTTCTTTACATCCTGCGTGGGGTCTGCATGAAGCGAATATTGCTCTTCTCATCATGAAAACAGCAACAGTAAAGCCATTTCTGTCCTGAAGCAAGGCAGCAGAAAGATATTCCATAGAAGTTTTCCAGTCACTTCACTTTGCTTCTCGGTGGCAGGCAGGCAAAGGCTTTATTTGCTCATAAAATGCCTGCCTTTGGTAGAGGCCTTTCCTTTCTCGGTCCCCGCTGCAGTAAGGCATTTTATATTCCCTGCCACTGTTTCACGCTCCCCTCCAAGTTCCCTCGAATGTGCTAACACCTGCCTACACTCGCTCGGGCATCCAGGACTGATTAATTCCATTTATTGCCAATGCACTGTCAGTAGAATCAGGCATATTGAAATGGAATAAAGGGGCTTGGCTTTGTGGGTGGTGGAGCCAAGAACAGGCTTTATTTGTCAACAGGGCTCCTTGCTGCTGTGCAGAGCTTTCCTGGGGCAGAAATGCTGCCTTCCGCCTGGCTTCCAGCTGCTCGCTTAGCTTCTGAGGGCCGTGAGAGTCCAGGGGAGGGCAAGTCAACTGCTAGGAGGAGAGGGTCTTAGGAGGAGGTCAGGCACTTCC